GTTCTGTGCTGGTGGTGATGGATACTTTCCCTTCTGTCCTCCATGTGACTGGATGCGCATTGGGAGAGTTTCATGACGGGTTCGTCGACTCTTTAGAGATTGTCGATCTTGAACGACGCCACCATCGCGATCCATCTTGTAGGTAGAAGAGTCAGTAGATGGATATGGCGAAACCTACCATGCCAACTCATGTTCAGGCCCAAGGCTGGCACGGTTCGAGCTGGGCTCGAGGACGATCGAACCCTGGACCCTGGTCCATGTCCATGGGAGATCATCGCTCAGGGTATGTGCTTGTACCTCATACTCCGTACCGAGTACAGAGATGTTCAGGCCCAGCCGACCGAACTTTAGCTGGCACGGCTGGCACGGCTGGCTAGTTGCCTGGTACCGGAAAAGGTGGTTAGAGAGAATATTAAGGTACCTACCTATGTACGGAGTATGCTTGACATCTATGCGAGATAGGGAGGATGAACCAGCCCCCAAATCCCAATCCCCCATCCTGAGTTTGCTTGGGACTGGATCTCGTACCGAGTACATGTAACATAATTAATTATTACCAAAATGGCAAAAATGAAGAAGGCTGTGCAGGCAAAAAGAAAAATGCAATCAAACAATCAAACAGTGACCAGAGGGTTACCCTGCTTGCCCTGGCCAACTTTCCCAGAGCGCCTTGCCCTTGCCTGCCTGTCCACAATAATCCACGTGTGATTTCGAATCCTGGTCTCATCTCGTCTCGCTCCCTGGGGAAGAGGAATCAGGATCATGATTATTGAGTAGCTGAGCGGGCACCGAGTACTCGGAAGTCACGACTCACTGTAGTATCAACCTTGTCCTTGTCCTACTCGTACGAGTACTGCGAGTACTATGAGAACTTGGTTCTTGGTTCTTGATACTTGGTTCTGGGTATCTAGCTTTCAAAAATAACCTTAGAGCTTTGCGTCACAACGAATGAACGCTCTTGTTCATCCATCTGCACGATAGCATTTTTTTTCATCCTGCCGGGCAATGGAGTTCGGAAGCTTACAGTACATATCTCAACATCCTTTTTGACACACGGACTCGGACACGCAATGTGGCTGAACTGGCTTGCCGGTGGCTGGACAGAGAAAGTGTGTCCAACTAATAACGCCTCCGTCAGAGAATCATGACGTCCTTGACCAGCTCGAGCAGGTAGAGAGGGCTCAGGAACCTTCAAATCGTGCGCCACTTGCGGTTACTCGTGTGTCGAATATCAAATGGACAGATGGCGAGGATGGGCGCGACGGGTGAGGTCTGCATTGATCTACGCTGTTGAGGTGTAGAGGTACGTGTACTTGGTCCTTGGTATTTGGTAACTTGGTACAGCTGATGCATGCATGCTCTTTGTCCAACCTCAGCCTAGCTGCCAGCTTCATCCACTGGCAGTCTACGTGGTAAGGTTACTACCGAAAAAAAAATGCTTATATCAAGGAAACTGCAGGATCGACAATCGCCGGCGGGGGAGCTTTGGTGAAACACCCCAGGGTCTTTGCCTATAACTTACCCGCAAAACTCTGCGAAATAAGGAATGGATGGGATTGCCCTTGATATTGCCCAAATTCTCTCATTTCCTCTACCCTTTTGGAGGGAACAAGAAATCCGAGGGTTTTTGGTAAGCAAAATGACGACAGAACCCGAATCTGATCATCCAGCACAAGCCATAAAAAGCGTCCTTGCAGATTCCCCTTTTTTGTTCATTTGTGAAGATGTCGACTATCTGATTGGAGTGGGAAGCGGCTGGCGAAGGCCCCCACAATGAAACAATGCAATGTTTCGCGGTTCCATGGCCTTTCGTAGAGCCCAGCCAACTACTAAACTCTTGTCAGTTGTGAATACAGATGCACCTCACCCTTGATCATAGCATAGTGAACAACTCCTTTTCGACAATCAGCAATAACCGTGAGATGGCAGTGAGTTCAGGCTACACAATGCAGCCACGATGACATGAAAAGGAGTCTCATGCCACAAACTGGCGGCGAGTACGGACAACCACTCCCCTACCTCAAGGAACTGGACTGTCTCTGACAATGACATTGCACAGTGTTGGACTCGCCGCACGCGCCAGCAGTCATATTGTCGAGATTGCGGAGCAGGTGAGCGCCCCTACTGTGGCTGGACGATAATGATGTTTTCGAGGCTTCGCATACAGCTGAAACCAGTTTTGTGCTGCACAAGTCTGTCCTTGCACCCTATCCCTGTGAAAAGCCCACTTGATATTTTTGAGCAATAAGACCCGCGAAGACCTCCCATGTCGCTTGACAGGATGGGAAGAACAGGGGTTTAGAAGAAGATGCAAAGCAAATCACCACGAAACTGCCCGTGGCTGAGAAGAGGAAAAAAAATCAGATTTGGCTTCAGAATATCAGTCAATATTTGAGATCATGCTCACCCTCCACCCACCCAGACAAGGGTCCAGATGAGGGAAAGCAAACAATCATTCTCTTCCTATCAATAAAATTTGCTGTTGCAGTTCATCACAAGCCATGATTACAAAAGTTCAAAATCCAACCGATGGCGACGAGGGAGGAAATTTCTCTCTCGAGTTCCCCAACTTGTCGCCAAGACATTTATATTGGACTAGTCCCAGTTTGTGCTAGCTCCCCTCTTCTGCTAGCGCTCTTATCGAAACTACAAGTCGAGATTTTTCCGTGCCTCTCCTTCTCTTCTCTTTTTTCCCTTTTTTCGTGCAGCGCTGCCACTATCAATTACCCCTGTGTTGCTTGGCCCATGTTTCTAAATTCTCCATAACGAGACCAAGTGTCAGTGGCAGCACAGATCAAACCATAATTGCAATTACCGATCTCCTCGACGAGTTGGATGAAGAAACCCATTTGAGTGGCTGATGAGTTTGGGCTCGTCGAGTGTTCCTGCGCTGGTCTATGCGTGGGGTCGGACATACTATGTTTTGCGTAAGCAGGGTTGGACGAGTACAAAAATTTTGACCTCGGGCACGTTCTTCGAACGAGCAACAGTGTTGAAAAGCAAGTACATGGCTACCAAGAGAGGAGTCTGGAGGGTGGGTGTATACAGCAGCAAGCAAAGTCATAGGCTGCGGTACAAGTCTGGGCCTTCGAACTGCCTGAAGATGAACAGAAACTCCATCCAAGTTCTATGCTCTTTTGTTTGCAGTGTTGCTTTTCCCCATCTAATGAGTCGCTTTTGTCACCAGCCTGAATGCGGTCGTCTCATGTCGTAGTGTTGAAGTCATGCCCTCATTCATCTCCTCCGATCTTTTCGATCTTCCCATCCCTCTTCTCTCCTGTCTCGCCAATGACTCTAATACGATCGATCCGGACTTTTTCGTTGTCTCCTTCGCTCTCCACCACAAACACCACCAGGCTAGACACATTTTGAAATTTGACAATGCGCAGTTCAATTTTGGCAGTTCCTGTTTTTGCATCCCAGTCCTTCTCCGACAGTGTAATCTCCTGCGCCGCTTGTGTATCGTCGGCCTCGTCAAAACCAAGGATGCGAGGTCTATTGGTGTAGACCTTGACCAGCTTCGGTCGGCTGGGGGACTCATCGTCGTCGGTATTGTCGGGTAAGGAGGTGAGGTGTAATGAGTGGATTTTTAGTGTGGACATGAAGGGGAGGTAGAGCATGAGCTGTTCGTCCGTGTCGCTTTCGACCCAGTCTGATTTGTCCTCTGCTTTTCCTATGGGTCGCCGCGCATTAGAACATTTCAACACTCATGTAGGAGAAGCCGCCCAAAACCGCTTACCTTTGGGTTTGGTTCCACTGATCAATGTTCTCGCGTTTCCATGCTCCGAGTCCCAATTCAGCAGTTCCATGCCCAAGACATCCACCTGAGAAGTCACGTTGCGGTATCCTCTTGGTAGCTCAAGACCGACCCATGTGCTATCGCTCGAGTCCTCTGTATCCTCGCTCGTTTCTAACTTGTTTGCCTCATTGGCCAATTCCTTCACCGCGTTCGATAACTGCTCCCGGTCTCCGCCTTGGATGACTTTGACTGTCTGCGCATTCTTGAAAACCACAAAGGTGGGCAGTACTCGGATGCCATATGACCGGGTGATGTCCTGCTGTTTGTCGGTGTCGATTCTGGCGAACGTGATCTTGTTTGGGCGCGACAGTTGTGCCGCGAGTTGCTCGAAGATGGGGGCGATCACCCTACATGGTGCAAACCAGTCGGCATAGAAGTCGGCCACGACGATCTTCGATGACGAGAGGAGGACTGAGAACTGGTCGGTCGACTCGATATGGACTAAGCTGGACATGGTGCTGGCTTCTTTAGCTGGCCAGACGCTGTGGGTTGGACCGAGGAATGGGGATAGGTGTATCCCGTTATCGACTATGAGACGGCGCAGTCTCAGTCACGGGGCGGGCTGCGATGCCAAACTATTCCGTTATCGATGAGAACCAGAGCCAGGACATCCAACAAGGGAAACCGTTCAGGCCAGCAGAATCAGGAAACCGTGACTGGCTCCCGTCAAACCTCGAGGTTCTTGTTATTGGACTTTGGGCTGCGGTGGCTTCAGCCCCCGCCTTTTCAGCCCAGCGCGGGCCGGGATTTCTTTTCACCGAATCAGAGCACCGCAATTCCTCGTTTTGTATCAATTCTTGATGCTTCACTCGTCCCATATCGATCTCTTCGTCCCCCCATCCCACTACTGTCCACTACTTGACCTTGCCTTCCACGATGCCCTGGCACTCGTCCATCTTCAGCCGCTCTAGACGGTTCAATGACCTCTATAACTTCTTCACAGTCCCGTCTTCGCTTAGAGCTGCGGTATGACGCATACAAACCTCAAGCTGAATCGGTGCGCATATGCCAGAGCGATCCAGCCTATGGTAGCTCGATTTGCCTGTGCGTTACGCACTCGATTTGGCTTTCAAGAACTCTCCAGTGACTCTGCCCCAGGCCAAGGGACCAGAGTTCTTCTTGTATAAGATGGATTTTCTCTTCGTTGATGTTTCTGCTTCAAGTCATCATCCTATCCTGATCTACAAATGTCGACTATCACATGGCTGCTGGACGCACCAACGTCTTCTTCGTGCCCTACAGGCCTAACTCAAAGTCCAAAAAACCGTCCTCGGGTGAACCTGCCATCTCACAGCAGAAACATGCTGCTCGCGAGTACCATCGAAAGGCCAAGCTGGAACGACTCGCTAAGCTAAACGCCATACATAACCGCGATGCACGCAGTGCCAGTGAAAGTCCTCCACCTGGTATCTCTTCTCGGCCGCCCCTGCTTCGAAACAAGACCTTCCCGGAAGATGAGATTCGTAACAGGACATTTGCTGTGTTTGATGTTGGCACTGGAGTGTTGGATCCCTTCAATGCCTGCGTCCCCAGTGGTGTACCTTCATATGCTCTCGACATTTTAGACTATGGTAAGTTTGTGGCGTCATGGCCCTTCTCAGATCAAACACATCCTCTCAGACATCTCGTTCTGAAGACCTTGAAGACAAAACTCCTCATTATATTTTCAGGTCGTTCGAATCTTGAAGCCGGCATCTCCCTCTGTCTTGCACACTACCCCGTTGCACCGGGAGCCGCAGCCTCCTCACTCATCCGACCGACAGCCGCTTCGAGGCAATGGACAATAGCCAGCTCCTCCAACAGCGTCCTTTCAGAGGGGACTATCAAAATTGCCCTGTTAGCATGTGCGATGCAATCTCGTGCCGCATTCTGGTCCATTATTTTTGCGTAAGCCATTCCTCCTATTGGGCACCACTCCCGTGGTTGATGATACCTCTATTGGACACTAATTGTGATGAAGAGGCGCAACACATAATGCCTATCTTCAGGGCGAAACAGGTACCCTGAGTCGCAATCGTACCTTACGGTTGTCGTACAAGACTCAAGCCATCAGAGAGCTAAATGTGGAGATCCAAGAGCTTCAAGGCCCAGCTTCTGACGAGCTCCTACTTGCCATCATCACACTAGCCGCCCATGGATCTGGGGAGCAATTAGAACCCCCTCCGCAAGGAGAGAATCTGAGCGCGTTACAATCGGTGCAGAGCTTTCAGTACTACGGTCGCATGCAGAGCGAAGCGGCACATCTGAAGGCTATCTGCCATTTGGTATATCAGAAGGGAGGCCTGCATACCGTGAAAATGCCCGGACTGGCGAACGCCCTTGCGTTGTACGTCGCCCTACAAACCCTCGCTGGTGTTTTGGCACCCAATTAACGCTAAACAGGGCCGATATCTTCTATGCATTCCAAGATATGCGCGTGCCTGCATTTCCGCTACTGGCGCCAACAAGCGTGATCATGTCGACATGGCCTGCAAGTTCCACGCGTCTAACTCCATCCCTCCAGAACTTGGCAAGTGGTTTCCAAGATCTGGAGGATGTGGCTGGCTTTGCACCGTTGATGCAGATCGTCAACAACGCCCGTCTGATCACCATTGGATTTGATGCTTACCTATCCGGCCTCTCCTCGGCGCCGTCTCTCAACCAGATAGTCTGGGCCAGAAACTTCATGACGCACGACCTACTCTCGGCCCCCTCAGAGCTCCTAGTTCCATACTCTCGCACCGGTTCATCCTCACCACAGGATAACGATAGCTCAAGTATCATGGTTCACAGCTCTCCACTGCAATCACTACACAACCTCGTTCGGCTATCGACCATGGCATATACACTTGTAGTGCTCTTTCCTGTACCGAGCGTTGCAGGTATTCATGGTAAACTGACACGAGAACTAATGCTTGCACTAGACAACTGCACTGTACTGGAACTTTGGACGACGCATTCGAGGTTGTTGCTTTGGAGTACAGTCCTCGGAGGGGTCATTGCACAAAACACCAGTCTTCGGCCATGGTTTACCGAGATGATCAGACAAGCCCGGACCAAAATCCCCCGTCTAGCGCTCTTAGACGCGAAGAGCAGAAGTAGAAGCAAGAGCAGACACTCGAGTCACAGTGTGAGTTCTGTTAGTGACGACGACGGAATGGATGGGGAGTCGGACGCGCTGTGGCCAGTGGTGAAGGACATTTGTTTTCGGTTTCTCTGGTTCGACGGTCCTGAATGTGACGGTCAAGGTCGAGTGTTTTGGGGCGAAGCGTGCGACGACACGAGCAAGCTAGCCTAGCCACGGGAAGGGTGTTCAGAGATTTCGTCGTTGGTAGGGAGTCGTGATAAATTAATTGATTTTGTTAGAATTGGTGTTTGTGTTCGTGGGTGAAGCAAGTAAGCAAGTAATTGCGCAAATAATCATGATACAAAACCAAGGTTAATCGTGTACCTTACAAGGTACCAAGGGACTACCAAGGGACTACTGAGGTAGGTAGGTAGGTAGGTAGGTAGGTAGGTATGTATACAAATGCCCAGCCAAAGCTAAAGCTAGAGCTATTAACTACTATATACCCCCCGATAGATTCTGATATGATACGATCTTCAACGGACCCAGAACCCAGAAGGATACAGATCAACGACAACATCAAGAAGAAAAAAAGACGCCCTAGGCACAGGATGCATAGAAGGGTCGTCAAAATGGTTTTGTTTCTCAAGCCCGCCTGTTTTAATTGTACTTTTTCCCATTTCCCATTCCCTCTTTCCCTCTTTCCTTTTCCAAATCATATGTCTGTCCTATTCCACTCTTGCCTCTTGCCTCCTGCATTATGATTCGTTCCCTCCGTCATTTTGTAGACCCCCGATGATATCGTGGTGTGTGCGCTCGAGAATGCCAATGTACAATAAACATGTCCCCATGTCCCCATGTACCCATGTGTCCATGTGTCCATGTGCCGCATAGTGGGTGAGTGAGGGAGGTATAAACACTCATTTATAGTACAGAATGATCGCCTCCTCAAACATTTTTAGGCAGACCAACCTATTCATCCCTTTTGTTGCCTTTAGAGATCAAAAATCATACCTCCGTTTCGACACCGTCGCCACCACGTCCGTCTTTGTCCCTTTCAAAAATCCTGTCCACTCCTCCCTCGACCCGCTTGGCCTTGCCAATCATCCAGTTCACCGTCCTGGCCCCCCTCCACTGCATAACCCCCTTGTGCTTCCTGTGTAGCTCCCGGTGATGGTCCTTGTAATCCCTTACCTGCGCCCTCAAACCACGAGAGCCGTCGTCGGGGTCGTTATGTCCGTCGACGTCCAGGAGGTTGGCAGCCGTGGCGCCGACTGCGCCGAGCGGCTTGGACACCAGGCGGGCAGGACCGTTGAGTGGGTTCTTGGAGGTCGAGGACGTCGTGCCAGAGTCCGAGTCCGAGGCATCCGAGTCGTCGTTGGCGTGCGTGCGGAGTTTACGGCGGGATTTGTCCCTTTTGCTCGACGACCTATCGTCGTCGTCATCGGTGCTGTCACTGTCCCCCTCCTCCTCATCATCGATCTCTCCCTCCCCATGATATTCGTCTTCATACTGGTCGACCTGTCCCTCATCATTCGCCGTGTCCAACACCTCCATTACCTGTCTCAAATCCGCATTGCGAGCTTTGTTTGCATAGCTCTTGTGGTACCCACTGAGCCCTCTCCAAAATTTGACTATGAGCTCAAGTTCGCCAAGTGGTTGCTCGTTTTCCTCCATCCCAGAATAGCCATAACTCGTTGTAGCGCGGTGCATGGCCTCTTTGCTACCCTTCCAGAGCTTGACCGTAATGGTTTTCTCTTCCTCGTCGGGGATGTCTTTGAGCCAGAAGACCCCTAGGGCAGGCGTGGAGTCAGGCCCAAGACGAGATTTGCGGCATTCGATGATCAACGAGCTTGAATAGCGTTTGCGCACGGCAAGAAAGATGGATTTTTTGTCGCCTTTGGGTCTCCATTCGCCATCCTCACCAGAGCCAGTAGGGTGCATCTTTGCTCTCATCAGATTGGTTCTTAACTTGATGCGTTGCTGGATGAATGAACCGTCGTCCTTTGTATGCCCTCTACCCTCCTTCGCTCTGACGGGGCACTTGATTTCCAGTGTCCCGAAATTCCATCCGAGCAATTCCTTTGGCAGTTTCAGTTCCACGCTGCGCCAAACCATGCTGATGCGCGCACGACCGAAACCGATGCCACCAACAAGTGGATAGGTCTGCATGACCTGGCTCCTTTCCTTGAAGACTCTTTGCAAAGGGAGGTAGATCATTCCGAGGAGAGCATCGTCTTCGCGTTCCCGACTATCGCGGACGGAAATCATCACCTCTGCGGTCTTCCAGTCGGGCACGAAACGTTCCGTGCCAGCGTTGAAGAAGGGCTTTGCATTCTTGGGTTTGGTTCTGGTGCGATAGATCTTCTGATGGTTGAGAATGATGGTCGCATAGCTGCTGGGCAGATCGTCATTTTGCTCAGCCTCGTCTTCGCGGTTATCGTTGCCACTGTTTTTCTCTCGTTTCTGCAAAGCCTGTACCTCCAGTCCGGTAATGTTGTGGATCTGAATGCTGAATATGCCACTGACATAGTCATCCGGGGGAGGGCTGGAGATGATCAAAGCGTCTTCACGCTCCTTGTAATCCTCTTCCTTTTGCTGTTTGATTTCCCTGCTCTCGTCGTGCGCCGTGGCTTCTCGCAACTTGCGCTCCGCCGTCTCGCTGACCTGTTTCCTGAGGTCGTCTATCGTTCGGACATTCGGATCGGCCGTCTGTTTTGCAAGTTGCTCTTCTGTAATCCTGGTTTTGGTGAAATAACCTACTCGCCATTGAAGGGTGCCTGGCATCTTTTCTTCGGGTTCTTCGCCCACAAAACGATCTTCTCGATCACACATCCGGTTTTTGGTCTTTGAGCTATGCATCAATTCGCGGAGATCCACCTCTACGCGACCAAGGTCATCATCTGCAGTATATTTGTCCGAATCCCAGAGTTGAAGGCGAAGTTTTTCGTCGGCATTGAGCTCTTCAGGCGTGACTAGAATGTGTGACCACTCTGACCAGTTTGGTTCTTGATCGTCGACAATGATCCTCGTCGAGGCAACAGGCTTGCCGAACTTACCCCAGGACACGGTCATGTATGCGTCGCTCGATCCTTTAAGCGGACCGAAGCCTCCATCACCTTCCTTGAAACCACTGGCAGATTTGATAAAGATCATGACAACGCCTCGAGCGACTGTGTCCTTCTTGAAGTCGTCACCTACAAGCATGTCTTTGAGGTCCAACGTCAGACTCTTGGGCGCAACATACTCCGCTAGCGCTGCGTCGATCGAAGATTGAACAAACGACGAAATGAGCGGCACATCCATCAAGTTGAGTGCGTGGCGGGACAAAGGGACACAGGACATATCCGCCTGTGGTTGTCCCATGAACGACATAGTGCAGAGACTAAAGAAAGGAGGATCAGGCGTGAGTTGTAGTCGCAAACGCATTGTGCCAATGATTCCGCGCAGTTCCACCCAAACCGGGACGGCGATGCCACCGGGCAGGTAGAATTTGAGATAGAGGTGGGCATTCTTCGCCTTTGCTTGTAGAGATTTGCCAGAAGACCGGGCCCGATAGGCGAATGCGAGCTCCATATTGACAAAGTCGCCCTGTTCGGCCTCCATGCCCTCTCGTATGGCCTGCTCATCCTGCTCGTTTTGCTGGCTGTTATGATCATGGTCATTCGACTTGTTCTTGTCCTCGCCACCGGCACCATCCTCAATCTCACCCTTCCCGGACGCCGTTCGATCATTTGCGCCTTCTTCTCTTGCATTTTTGAGTTTTCCATCCGCGCCCACAGACCGACTTGCAGCACCCGTAGGTAACCAGTTGATGCCGAGAACACGGAAGGCTTCACTCCCTTGGCCAAGATCGTCGACACTGACCATCCGCACCACTTTTGGGAGCGATGCCTGCATGACATCCTCCAACATGTCCGAGATCGAAGTGAACAGGTCTGGGTTGATGAGGGGCCAGACGGCCGACAGGAGATTGTTTAACCAAGCCACCGATTCTGGGATGGCGTCTTCAGCTTGAGTCGTGTGAAGTTCTTCCTGCCGAGCAGCATCCCAGATCTCGTCCTTGCAGATTGCTTCGACCTTCTTACCGAGCCAGTCTCTGACCAGCAGGATCACGAAAGCCGCAATGACACCTGGTACGAAAATGACGACTGCCGCAGCAGAGAGTCTCGACTGGAAAGATGACCCCTTCTCGTAAAGACTGACACCAAACACTCGAGCGACAATCTCTCCCAGAAGAAGTAGTCCCAGAACGCCCGCCAGGCCTATCGTGATGGCGCGCTCATACGTCCTCGCCAGCTCATTCTTGAGGTCGTCGAATTTCGGAGGCGGGAATAACCTTTGCATACCATGCAAACTGTCCTGGGCCTCCTCGCGCTCTTTGTCAAGCTCTTCCCGGGATTTCCTGGCACCACTCACTCCTGTCTGGGTTCGAGAGTCTGTTCCGCTCGCGGGGACATTCTCGTCGACGGCCTTGAGGTCCTTGCGCGTCGAGTCTCGAATGATTATGGGCAAGTGGGTCACGGGGTCTGTAACCTCTCTACCCCCATCACTGCGCTTCTTGTGCTTCATGTCCTTTCTCTTCTGGCGAGGGTCATGGTGGCCTGCAACGGCCTCGGTAGCCGATTGACCCGGCTGGTCTGTCTTGTTGTCCCCTGCATCCTCGTCTCGTGGCTGCTGCTGACTCTGGCTCGCTTCTTCTTCGTCCTCTTGATCCTGCTCTTCGTCTCCTTCTTGCCCCTCTCTCCTAGCTGGCTCTCCCAGAGTCACGACGTTTCGGTTTTGAGACCTGTAAGGATCGTGCGTCGACTTGGGCCCTTCCTCCTCGCCCTTCAAGACACCCTTGGCGGCATGATACGCTCTCTTGACAGTGGAGTCGTCAGTCTCGTCATGCTGGGCTTGTTCGGCTTGCTGCTGCTGATTGTTCAACTCGCTCCGTTCGGCCCGGTATTTCTGGACAGTAGGGATAGGATGGCGGGCAGAGTGAGGGGCCTGGTATGTTCGCCGCTGGGACTCTGGATCGAGGTCGTCCGTCGAAGACATGCTAGCCCATGACAGACACAGCAGCAGAAAGAAGGGAGGGTCTGCTGACGATTGCTCAAAGGAACAATGTAAATGGACGTTCGCCTACCTGGAATTGATGAGGGGGGAAAGCCGCGACGAGAACCAGTCTCAGCAGCAAAAGGAAACAAAACAATTGCAGTCAGGGTGAAACCAGCTCCGTAAAGAATATTTCACATCATATTCATTCCCCGCAAATGCTACGACGACAAGCCTTGAATCAAGGCATTTGTGGGCAAATCCAAGGTGGAATGGGGAAGCAGAACAATGACGTCGCAAAACTCCACGCGGCAAGAACAAAAAATGAACGGAGTTCAGGAAGCGGAACCAGACAAGCCCATCCCAAAAGCCAGCCAGCTCCACCCGGGTAACGGATGATCTGCCAGCAGAACCTGGCCCTATACTTGATGTGTGGTGTTTGTTTCGCGGCCTGACTGCTTCGTCAGCGAAAGGGCGACGCAGAAACCGAGAAACAAGGAAGACGATCGACCGCAGATGAACCGGGGGAGAGAGAATTGAAGGTGGATGGATGATCGTCCGCCAATGGTGCGAGTGGCGCTGCGGGGATTTGCATGCAGGATCGCATGAGACTGAGACTCATTTTTTGTCCCTCTTTCTCTTCCCCCCACAGGCCATGACCAGGAATCTGCATGTTGAAAGCGGTCTTTGATGTCCAGCACGGGTGAAAATCAAGCAATATCGAGAACATATACCCACTACGATGTCCTGCAACTCCCTCGCCACCCCGAAGAGTCTGGTCGTCTGTCGAAGGACGACATCAAGGCCGCATACCGACGCGCGCTACTCAAACACCACCCAGACAAAGCATCCAGTACTACCGAGAATGTCTCCCTGAAATCCCTACGGAGCAAAGATGCTACAACATCAACACCCATCTTCTCCATCGATGACATCGTCGTCGCACATGCGGTCCTATCTGACTCTAAGAGACGTGCGGAATATAATCGTGCTCTGGATCGCGCCGTCAACCTTGGCGGAAACGATCAGAGCGGCAAGAAAGACACACACCTTGGAGTAGAGGTCTATGACCTCGAAGACCTAAGATACAACGAAGTCCAGTCTATCTGGTCCAAGAGTTGCCGCTGTGGTGACGAGGAAGGCTATACCGTGACGGAGTCTGATCTTGAGAAAGAGGCGCAACAAGGCGAGATTTATGTGGGATGTCGAGGGTGTAGTCTCTTCATAAAGATCTTGTTTGCTCTGGAAGACACATGAACAAAAGGGCGGTGTTGTTGGGCGTCGTCAATGTGGCTTCGCAGCCGCCTTTTCAGCCTGGTGCAGGGCCTCTATAGCCTCGCGGACATCGGCCGACCGACCTTGAAGAATGGTTTCAAACTCTTGCTTGATCGTCTCATGCGCCGTGGCCAGCTCCTGGACCTCTTGGATAATTTGTTTCTCAACCTCTTCCTTCCTCTTGGTCAAGGCAAGCAACCTGGTGAGAAGCTCGCCTTGAAAGCGCTTCCTGGGGACGCAAAGCAAAGGTTAATGGGGAGCTGGGCGCAACGACCTCCCCAAGGAGCGGCAGATCCATGGAAAGAAAGACTTACGTGTCTTGCTGGAATCTGTTCACCCTCTCGTCAATCTGCACCTCGATCTCCCGAAATTGACTGTCAAACTCCTTCTCCAGGCGCTGCTGTCCCTGTACTTTGCGGAGGCCGACCTAAAGAGGCGTGAAGTCAGTGCCGATTCAACGCAACCCTAACGCCCGGGAGGAGGTCCACGGCCGTCTGTATTCTGAAAATCCACTCACATCCATAGCCATGCTCTTCTTCAGATTCTCCTCACTCTTCCTCAACTGATGACTCGTGCTCGTGCTCATCTGGTCACCCTGCACTTCAGAGTCCTCTTCGCCGTCACTGTCAGACTGAGCCGCCGGCGCCGAGTTCCTCTTCAAGCGTTTCGAAGACATTGATATTTGTTGTTGGGGAGTGGCAACTCGATCTGGAAGGGAAGGGGACAAAGAAGCTAGCTGACGAAGGGGAGCGGTGGGACGCGATGGATGGAGATTTGAAACTGTGCACAGACAATGAACCTGAAAGGTTGGTGAGTTTGGGATGAGAGAACTGACGGAAAAAACAGTGTGTGGGGGAGGAGAAATACGTTGTGCTAGCATATGGTGCCAGCAACAAATATCAGGGCGTGGACGAGGTTGACTGGAGTATATCAGCGCCGACACGATAGAAATCAATCAACCATTGCCAACAACATGACAAGCACCACGATACTGTGTTATTCCAACCCACTCTATCAACTGTTTCTACAGGTCAACTTTTGTACATCGTCATAAACCAGAACGACTTCCGCTCTGTCATCCAAACCGCTGATAAAGATACACGATACAAAATTCGTTACTCCATGGTCAACGATTGCTTTGAGACGTGGCATCAGTGATCATTCAACCTTTCCTTGCGCTGCTCATCAATGAACCCCATCCCTGGGTACTTTTCAGTCCACAATTTCCAACTCACCCTGTCGTTCCTGGGCGAAAAGGTCCTTGTATCCGTCCCAAAGTCTGACCAACTCTGCCACATATTGCTGGTGGACCTCATCTAGATACCTTTCGTCCACATTGTTGTCCTTTGTTCCCTGTTGTACAACCCGTATTGGTCTTCCAACCACAACATTCACCGCCCTCCTATACGGAAGCAAGCCCACATCGTAGTTGAATATTCCTCTTGCATGGAAGAGTGGGACGGTGAATCCCATGAACTTCTTGACAAGCATTTGAAATTTGTGGATCCATGGGTGTTCGACACTGTCAATTTGATCGTAGAGTTCGTTTTCGCCAAAGGCAAGCACCGGCACCAGATCGGCGCCAGTGCGTATAGCTAGTTTGATGAAGCCTTTTCTACTTTTCAGAACGAGACGGAGGGAGTGAGGCTTAGCGTCAAGAGATTCGCGGGCACCACCGATGACGATTGTCACTGCGCGACCCATTCCTTCACCATTCAATCCTCCTTTGCACAGGATGTTCTCAATGGACTCGCGCGACACCGACGCTAGGCCCATTGCCAATGCATAGTCACGGTAGAAAGGAACTCGAAAATTCGTGTCAAGGGTCAATAGGGTGTTTGTGATGCCAGGGTACAAGTCCGAGAATCCCAAAGCCTCGGTGGCAAAGGCAGCGAATGCGCCGTGGGAGATGATTCCGTGTGGATGGTATCCAAAGATATACTTCCTTGTTGGTTCAAGCTCGACAGTGCGATGCAACCGAGCGGGAAAGTAGGATGCGAATAGCGACCAAAACTTCGACCCGCGCAGCCACTGCGATCTTCTCGAAAGGGTGCCATTGGTGGCCTCTTCACTGATGACGAGAGTGTAGATGAGGTAAGGGACCAGGAGAGGCCAGGTAAGAGGGATTGCGCAGAGGAGGAAGAAGAGTGAGAGGAATAGAGGTATGGTGGTAGTGTGCCACAGCACTGCTAGAGTCTGAAGCCTCCGCTGTAACGGGACGTTGAGGGGTGCCCATCGTATCCTGTTACGAAACAATTAGCCATAATTACGGGCCTCGAGAAGGCGCATACGCAGAAGTTTGCCAGCCGGCACCGGCTCTTCGGCCACTCGCAAGCTCATCCTGGCGTTTGGGTGGTCGATTACGCTTCCTTTCTCGGGGCGTAGTGTTTTCACGACGCTTGAGAGAATCTTCATAGCCATCGCTAGGCTTGATGCTTGTCAAGATCTCTCCAGTATGATTGGTATGCTTCTCATAAAGAACCTTCTCTTCGTCTAGTTGCTGTCGGCTGCCTTGGCCATTGATCATCGGGGGTTGGGCAGACCCGTTGGCCGCAGCATGATCCTTTGCACCAGACCCGACCTCAACGCGCGAATGATTGGGGCCATTCTCGCCATTCATGACGGCATCTGCATAAGATTTGGGAGGGAGGTCGTGCTCAGCACGTTCTTCTGGCTGCGATGGCTCTGGGTTCAGTTCTGCCTGTCCCTCTACTGCGGTCGCAGCCATTTCAGTGTAGGCCGAGAGGGGGTCGCTTTGCAGGGATAGAGCGCGTTCACGGAACCAGGCAAAATCCGAGTGGCCTCGCCGAAGCATCAATCAACACATTTAAGAAAGGCACCAGCGCACGTGTAAGCACTGTGAGCTAGAAAGGAGGCTGCAAGAGAGCTGCAAGGAAACAATGTGCGATCATGCATAGTGAGTGCGACCCAGTCATGACATGATTGGACTGTTTCAGACAGGAGGCGATCAAGTCCGGGCACCGCCAGTGACGTCAGTACCAAGACTGGCTTAGTGGGCCACCAGACGAATAATACATTGCATAAAATAGAGCCTTGCATTGTCATGTTCGTGTATGTACAGCATCCTCGTCAAGAGAAACTCCGACAATGCCCCCCAAACCCTTCGTATATGGGATCCCCGAGACCACAAAATGACTACACTATCCTCTGGACTCTAGCACTGTCCTGCGAAGTCCAGGACTCGTTTCACAAATCCTTCGCGGCCACACCAAATTGCATGTTGTCATTGTCAAAGACAGCAAACACGGCCTTGAGGAAAATGTCACCGTAAATAGACTGGCCGATACCCTCGTTGCTCTGTAGGCCGCCGAAGCATGCTGCAGCAAATTATTCGTCAGTTCAGCGACCTCGCTATCGCGGGATTTTTGACTTACAAGAAGAACCAGTAGAGACGGGAGCGTAGTTCATAAACGACCCTGGAATAACAGCATGATAGCTGCCAATACCGACAGCGAAGTCGGGAAGATCTGCAGAGCAGGGGAAGGTATAGCCACCCTGAGAGTTGTCCAACTCGGCGCCCTCGACTTGATCGTAGTAGGCGGAAACAATATTATCATCCATGAGAAGGAGGGTGGTGCCAGTATCGGCAATGGCGTCAATGCTTGCCGACTGGAATTCACCATCGCCAACTTGGTAACCTGTACCAGTGATTTCCCAGAAGCCCTGGGAGTTGTCCACGGGTGTGTATGTGATATCGCCCGTGTATTTGCTGTTGTCGATGAATCCAAAGTCGTACGAACCCGGCTCTCCCTTTTTCAAGTCCATGGTGAATACATTCTGCTCAAGGGCTCCTTGGGCAATGGCGGTATCGAAGAAGGTGGTTTGTTGCTGGGGTTGGACTAGATGCACATTAGTAGCAACATCAGATGGCTCGTGGATCCACTGACCAGTGTTAATAGAGCTGAAAGCCAGGCCGAGCAGACCGTCATTGTTTGCATCCTGTTGGAACTGTGAACTGATCTGTTTGGCAACTTCGACAGCTTGTCCCGTGACCGTGGTGCCACCGACATTGACAGTATCCGTGTAGACACTGCCGCTCGCGCTCGATCCGTCGCCGTATGAGATTTTCCAGGTGGCTCCACTGAGCTGCTTGGACGTCTTGGACTTGGACGGGTCGTAGATGCTGTGTCCAGAGCGCTCTGAGCTGGGCAACTGGGACGAGAAGACCCACCTAGCGAACATTAGCGATAACTGGCATCAATGTAAGTGGACACCAGGGAAGGTTTACAGATCTGCGGATCCAGTATCAAAATCGAGGTTCAATGTTTCGCCTCCGATGCTGACAGGGCAGAGATATTCAGCGTCGAATTGCTCAGGGGTGGCAGTGACAGAGCCATCTGCGGCCGCGGCTTTGACATTGTCGGGCACGGCAATATTGTATTTGCGGTAGGTCTTTTGCAGAGCCACAGGACCGGCCTGGTATGGCTTTGCAACACTCTGCACAAGTGTAAAGCCTTTCTTCGTCTCGACCTGCGGGACAGGAATGGGTTTTGCGAGCGTCACGCTCGTCAAGGCGGAAGCCGCCAGCAGGACTGTAAAAGAAAGCATTTTCTATGGAAATAAAGAGAGACAAGTTTCAAACAGAAACGGGCAAATGAATGGACGTCTTGCTGGTCGGAAAGAGAGACTGGCTTGATAGAGAGCTGTTCAAAACGAGCTTCTCAACGAGAACTTATATATCTGTTTGTGGAGTCCACAAAGACAACATCACAAATCCAAAGCGGACCCTATTCCACAACCTTGATCATGAGAAATCCTTGCCAGAGAATGAGATAGGTACCTAGCAATGGTACTCTGGATCCAGCGTACGAGGATCGTCGATATTGGAAGGACCATGGAGCGGACGAGCATCACGGAGGGAAGGACATATTGAGAAGGTCGCGAAGACATCCGAGGCCCAGATCCTAGAGAGCCGGTGGTGAACATGAGGTTGATTCGAGAAGACAATCAAGCATATCAAGCACAGTATCGAAGCTTTGATGGCCCCAATCTGCCGAGAGATGGCTATCGAGGCGCACGATTGGACTGCAAGTCATCACGGCAGGCTGTGGAAGGAGTTGATACTCGCCTAGCTTGGCGCCTTGGAGGAGATTGAGGGCGAGGGTCATGAAACGTGGGGACTTCTCCGGAGCAGGTAAGATGACAGGTATGAGCAGAAACAAATCTGGTAACGAATCCCCGATGCAGAGGCTGTTGCGACGAAGCGAGTGGTGATTGATGCGACATTTAAGATGAGGTTGGAAGAAGAAAGTGCCACAGCGGCCGCTGATTGGCCGCATGTCCAGCTCCGCTCGCACTGCATGATTGACACATTCTGCTCGACGGACACAGCGTCCAGCAAACCATCTTCCTGGCCAAGCCGTTTCAACGGTCTTTCAACCTTCAACTCCTGTTCATTCTGCCGTAGGCATGACTAGCCTGCTAGCCTTGCCTTGTTACTTTGTCTTGCATCTCGATTCGTCCCTTCATTGAAATGAACGCCGCTGGCGCAGTTACTAAACAAACGCCCCCCGAGTTCCGCTCCCGTCCTGCGGACGAGGTTACCTTTATCCCCCACCCCCGGGCAAAGTCTACCAGAGCCTTCCTCCCTTGCCAACGTCCAATGACCTCGATACCTCTCGAAAATACGCGACACGCGGGCTACAGGGGTCCCCAGGTAACGCGGACGCAGATTAGGGCGAATGCGACTCAATCTAGCCGAACCCTCAAGAGACATCCAACCAACTCCATGCCAGACGAGATGGTCATGAATTCGTACCGTCCGTGCCCTGTCCCAGAGTTCTAACATACTCGTACCCATTATGCCTATCTCTCGGTGCAGGTCATGTCCTTGAACGGCCAGTACTAGTCTACCGTGGTGGGGCAGACGGTTTCTGTAAGATTGCGTTGAGCAAAATACAGGCAAACATCCGCCTATGAGAGACAAAAGCCCATCGGCTGCCACGCCGAAATCCTACACCTGCAAACGGCATGCTCGCTCCTCTACGAGTATTCGCAAGCCGGATGATGGGGTTGACAAGATGTGGCACTACAAAAGGACAAGCCAGAGCCGAAAAAGAACAATGAGTAGACATTAATCAGTATCCGCCGTGTGATGCATACGTCCTCGGCATTGTGATGAGGGTGAATGTATTAAACATGCATATACGAGTATCTTTTTTCTGTTCATCATAGCCATGCCGAAGTATAAACGTTTGTAAATGATATCTCAAAAATGCTTCTCTGGCAGTTCTAAATCACGTGTCTGCTCCTTCTTCGCCACAAAAAGCTCATATTATCCACAGGGGTCGTCGTCCTTCAGAGCTGAATGCCGACTGTCTATGGAGATCGCCGTGGAGGGCGTGGAAGTGGTGGGTGGGTGTGAGGCCTCGTCGCGTCTGGGCGAGGAACTCCTGTTGCCAGTCCAGCTAATGTGTTGGCGGCATCGCTCTCCGATCGATTGAGGCCGGGTCGGCTGTCATCGCGCCCTGGGTGTCGTAGTTGTAGGGGATCGGTGGCCCTGGGTCGGGGTTGTTCCATGGCACGGCCGAGATGCAGAAGAGTAGCGGTACCCATCGGACCCGTTCGAGGTGGAGGGGGCAGACTTCTTGAGCCCGGCCCCTGAGGGAACTCGGCTGGTCGTTCGTGAGACAGGATTGGCGGCAGCTGAGTCGGACTCAACTGTTCTCGGCCTGGACTGGGGAGATGTATGGGAGCGTGGGAGGGCCTTGGTGTCTCTTGGTAACCTCGAAAGTCCGGTGGACGATTCCTCCACGACGATTCCTGCATTGTTGGCGAGGGTAAAGTCGGCGGATAGGACAGGGCGTTTTGCCCGTGCGGGACGCTGCCAAAGGTGGGAGGGGGAGGGATTGGAGCTGTTGCCGCTGCTGGTGGCGGAGGTTGGGGCGCGGGCGGTGCTGACTGATGTTGTTGCTGTTGCTGCTGCTGTACAAAATACGACAGCCTTGATCTTGCGAGAGGATCGGGAGACCCCGTAGACTCGACGGACGACGCACTCGGTGGCAGTGCCGGTAGGGGAGGTGTACCTGACCCTGCACCCAACGATAAACCAGCCGCCCGTATCAGCGGATCGGGTACTTCACTCCGCACTGTAGAAGACTCATCAGAGACCGAACTCTGGCTAGACAGTAGACCGGGACGAAAGTACTCCCGACCTTGTTGCACTGAAGGAGGGGTTCCGCTACGCGACGAAGGCAATTGCGGTCGTTGTTGTATCGACCCTCCTGAACCGCTGGGGTGAATTGTCCCTCCAATAAATGGCGAAGATGCTGAAGACCCAATCGACCCGCCTCGGAAATGCCCAGATGCCTGTGATGCCACTTCTGGGTTGGCCTCGACTGACTTGGTCGAGATGATACTCCCGCTGGATTCCTGCTCCAGCTTAGGCCGCTTTGGCTCCGACGGCTGTCCGTGTCTGGCTTTAAACTCTGACAGGTAAGCCATATAGTCCCTGTACTCGTCGGTCTTGCGATAGGCCGACAGCAGGATGTTGTATTTCTCTTTGGCGGCGTTCGCCTGGGCCTCGAAAGGCTCTTTGCCAGTAGGGTCCAATTTCTGCCATCGGTCCCCGACGAGCTTAGCTATCTGGGTAAAGGAAAGGTTTTGATCTTTGACCTCCTCCCTGACTTTGTTGGAAAAGATCACGTATGCTGAAGGAGGGCGTTCGGGAGCATTCTCGTCCGGTTTAGGATGGCGTCGGTACTTTCGTTTGGTCTCGGGAGGAGGGACAGACGGCCGCTCTGGACCCAGGGAAGATCCCGCGCCAGCATCAAACCCCCTACTGGTTTCTAAGAGCGCTTCCTGGGCAGGAGAGCCAAAAAGGCGTTCATAAGAAACCCCTCGATATTCGGCGATTGCACGCTGAAGTTTCTTTATCCATGCGTCAGCGACTCCTTCCCCAAGATAACAGTCACCACAAACTCACCCTACGATGGCCTAGTTTAACATTGAGAGCGTCACTAGCACAGAATCAGTATATTAGGCACCTCGTAATGTGTATATTTGACAAACTCACAAGTCACTCTCTTGAATATCTGTCAGAGTCTCCCAAGTGTCGAATCCTTCGCCGATGAAAGCATCGAGGTATTGCTCAAGGCCAAGGCGCTCGAGATGGGGTGCGAGATCGGTCATTCACGCACAGGTAGTTGTTCATTGACACCAAGGCTGTTGCAAAGTCGAGGCGACAGGGATCTCAAGACGACGAGACAGTTCAATCAGGGCGAAACGCCTCGCAAGCTGTCCGATGAATCGCGGTACCGGCTGACTCGATTCTCATGTGGAAATGTCGTAGCAGGACAACGCAGATCTCAACCGTGGAGGGAGTGTCAACCCGCCCGAATAGGGTTGGGGGAGGTACGTCTCAAACGGTCGGATGTATACAGAATCAATGCTTTAGGCTAGGTTTCCGACCACAAATAGATTAGATGGCAGTGTTGTGAGGTTTTTGATATTGCACTGAAGGCAATGTGTTTTTGTGCGCAACTTGGGTTCCAATACAAGAACTTCAGGATGCTGCCCAGAAGGGGAGACAGCTTTTCTCCCCCAGAGTTGGTTCGATTGAGGGGATCGATGACCGAGATAGTGATGGCAACGAAACAGGGTCAATGTCATTCAGGGTCTCGAGTGATCAGCCTCAAATACCACAACTGTCTCCAGTGGCATGTGGTGGGGGGTTGAGGCACAAGAGTTGGACAACTGTTAAGACCCTGGTGACGGGAAGCCGGGCTATGAGGCTCCAATTCGGATCCAATTCGGATCGAGTTCGGAGTACCAGGAGCTCAAAATGGATATCTAGATCTTTGACAAGGGAAAAATGTGTTTCCGATGGCGACAAGGTGGCACACCACGCGTCTCCCAAGATGGCCTTTGGCTGTAGGTTGAAGGCGTTGACCCGTAGCGACCGAAATAGACTCACGAGAGAGGAAAGCCCCCGCCAATACCTTTGGATATGATCTGACCCAAAAAAAAAAAAAAAAACGGGAGGCGACTGGCGCCAGTGTACGGATAGAAAGGGAGAATGGGCGGGAAGAGGCCCGGGAAAATCGATCTATAGGCTGTTCATTTGATCTGGGATAAGGAGTGATGGGTGGTTGAAAAGAAGGGCCAAGTAAAAATTTCGCTGTGTGTGAAGCCGTGGAGCAACAGAGAATCAGATGATGCAAGAGGGAAGCGTCCGCGTGCTGTGCCGCCATTCGCCGACTAGCGACGCAGGAATAAGGGTAACCAAGGGTAAAGGAGCCGTGGTGGGAAGGGGGATGATATTGGGGGTGGGTGGTTGTAGTGGCTTGGTTGTAAGGTTCACGCAGCTTCGTAGCCTCTCCTCTTTTAGCTCCATTTCCCGTAACCGAGCTGTCAGAGCTCTTTAGGCTCTCAGAGGGCGAGGAGGGGACCCAAGGGTGATACTTTGGCGTTAGTCTGGAGCAGTCTTCGCCCGCCCAATCCCCGCCCACCAACAACAAGTCGATTAAGCCCTGTTGTGGGGAGCCATGGGCCCCAGATACTCAGAACATGGTTCCTATGGTCCCTATGGTCCCTATGGTACCTGCGTGGGACCACACCATCACCACCGTGGATGGATTATTTGCCTGATGACCGCATCAGCCATGGCTCTCCGTTTGGGGATGATGCGTCGTCTGTGGTTTCCTGGAGGGGGAATTTGTCCAAGTTCCATGGTTGCGGAAGCAGATGCCCGATTCGCATCACTATGTACTATGTAGATTCGAAAAACAAAATAACCAATATATAAAGATGAGGTGCTCCATCTGAGGATGGTGGTCTTTCCCTGCTGACAAGTGGTGTCCAACTCATTTTTTTGCTTCCCGTTGACTTGTTGCGATCGCAGCTGAGGTTCTCCATCGAGTATCCCTAGACACACCGCCTCCAGAACCTGTCCCGAGGGTCATTTTCGTGAATGACGCTCCAAGGTCGTTGATTGTCCCGATGGCCCTGACCCCCTGGAATGGAAGCAAACTGCTGCAAGGGTTGGGCCGTTTGAATGGGGTACAAGGCCCTTTGTCAAATGCTGAGTCGACTTGGACAGACATAACTTTACAAACTTGGCGCCGATAAGATCAATTGGAGATCGACAACATGCACAGAAGCGGAGGCTTGATGAACGTGACAGGAAATGCAAGCCGTCGATCTAGCGTTCAAGTAAAAAAGCAAAGAGCGGGCTGTCCATCTTTCGCCATGCCATGACAGGGTCCATGCTAAAGGAAACGATTCCACAAAAGTAGAGAGCAGATGCAACCCAGATGTGGATGCAGGTTCACAGACCAGCTGTGCTACAAGTCCGATTGTAGTCGAAAAGTGCGATCTCGACGGCTTGTCCCATCGGCACGGACATGGGGAGACAGGTCAGTTTGGTGAGATGGCCGGCCAAATGCTCGATTCCCAGCGACAGCCTTGGTTGACCTAAGCCTTAGCCTGGATCTGAGCCAAAGCTCCCGCGGACCCAGGATTTCCACCCTTCCCCCCCCAAATTCGTACTCGTACGAGTAGTGACGAAAACCCCCGAATGTTGGCCTTTCCAGAATTGCAATGGGGGGATTGGCCCTGAACACAAGATTGAATTCCTGTTTCGATGCGTCCTGGATCCCGAGAATTGACTGGCTCGGGACCCCTGGAGCCGCCCTTCGTCTGGTCCTGCGTCCCAGGGGGGTTAGCGGGCACCATGCGCCTTAGCCGGGGCAATTTCAATGACGAAATGCAGTAATGATCGGTCGGATATCCGGTGCCGAAAAAAACGAGTTCGTAGCGTGGCCTGGTAAGTGAATACCTACCTACTCGTACTTGTATATCATCAAGATATAGTCCAAAGACCTCGACAAGTCCTAGAAATATTTCCACCTTGTCCGCTTTCTGATTATTTCGACTTGGTGAACTGGAGATGCGTTGTCCTTGATCCCATCCCTGATGCTGATGTCAAACTGGGATCAAACATCGGGACTCGGCAGCGTCAATAAGCGCGACATTATTTTAAGTTTGGAGGCAACACTTGCTTGACGGGACATACCGTGGAAAGTCTCTGTCTTTTGATTGCGACTTCCTTTTGTCAGGCCACAACGAATGAGGACTGTTGAAGTGAATAATACAAATGCTTTTGAAAAATAGCCAACATAAGATAATGGGGAAGCCTGGGTTCAGTCCAAATGGCTTGGTTGATAGGCCTTTCGGTGGGGTCAATCGGCCGCAGACAAAGTGTCTAAGCGGGTTATGTTCCCCATGACGAAGACCGTGAGGATCCGCTCACCGAAACCTCGAAAAAAGAAACTTGCTCTATGTGAACCAATAGGATCCGCTAAGAGCTCTCAAAACAAATATGGATTTCTTCCATCAATGCGAATCGAGGTTTTGGAGGACATATGGACATCATGGATATAGACAACGGAAGGGAAGGGATTGATCTTGCCGTCAAAAATAATGGCCTTGATTCGACTTCATCCACGTGCAGGTAAACCCCCGTTAAAAACCAGAAACCTTGGGTAAATATGCTCAGGGTATCAACCACTACAAGCAAAGGCTAATTATTGGCCATCACAAACACGGGCAAAGGTCAATAGGCCCCGAGGAGGTGATACAGAATACAGACAAGTACCGAGTAGAGAGATTCGATGCAGCCGAGTGGGTGACGATTCTTGGCAGTCTGACTCCCGCGTGGGTTACAAATGACACTAAACCACATGTGGCCAGGCTGGGCATTATCGATAACTGTCTGCGCCCTCCCTGCGCTGCCTGCGGTGCCTGCGCTGCCTGCGACTTGATCCCTGGCCCGCTTTTCTCCCTCGCTTCGCAACAAAACTCATTTCTTCCGCTCTCTGTCCGCTGGACTTGAACAATGCACACCGGCTTCCATGGCCATCGATAGTCTTCCATAGTCCCTCTCAACCTACAACCATCCCGCCCGCGAACTCAGCCGAACCACCCCAGACCCTGACATTCAAAGGCTCTGTCAGGCTCACTACATTTTGGGCTCCCATCGATATCCGGAACCTTTTTGAATGATCCCTTGACAAAGCTGACCCATCACGATTCCGGCTTTTCCCAAATGGCACAACGGAAGTCTACCTCCCAGAATGTGGACGATCAGGCCCAATCAGACAATGACCTTGACATGAACAACCCTCGGCTGTTAATGTCTGAATTAACAAAGGTATGAGAATCGGCAGTCGAGCCTGATGCGATTCCGCCCGACTCCGCTGACTATTTGACAACCTCTTGCTGGAGAAAAGGCATTCGAAGAAGTCGCACAGTATGCCCCATGTGAAACGGCCGTATGGATTACCCTTTTCTGACAGTGGCACAGGGCGGAGTCAACGGCTTCAGCTCTTGAGGCCAAGCTTGATGGCATCCACAAACAGCTTGACCAGCTCTTAGCCAGCTTTGAACAGCCTTCTGAGTCAAGTTTGCAGGAGCCCTCATCAAAACCCTCTGATGCCAAGTAGGTCAGCGTTTCCCCAGCCTGGTCCTTCTTGTCAGACACGTGGCCACCACCTTTCACATGGTCCGAGACCGAGACCTGAGAGCCAATCGGTTCCCGATCGTCATGGTCGCGTCAACGCCCTTCAACGCCAATACAGGTCGCTTCCATTGCTCCACTTGGTATTTCCGCTCGTTCTCTTGACCCAACATGGTGGTCACCAGTCAAGGGTTTACGAGTCGTGTGATTCCCAAACGGTCTAAGCGACTCAGGGTTGAGGGAAAATGATCCCGAAATTGAACTTCCCATCTACCTTCTCGATGACTCCGACTTCAGTGATGACTCCATCGATGAGTTCTGCTGGGGTCACATCAAAGGCTGGATTCCATACATCAATCCCAACTGCAGCGGTGCTCACCATCTCTGAACCTTCGTCCAGAAGTAACTTTCCGTCTACCGTAACTCTGGGACCCTTAATCCTTGTTACCTCTTCCGGTGCTCTTTCCTCGATTACAATGTCCTTCCCCGATACCGTGTCTCGGTCGATGGTTGTCCTAGGAGCGGCAACTAGGAATTTTACCCCGTGATGACGGGCAAGTACAGCCAGAGAATGTGTTCCGATTTTGTTGGCTGTGTCGCCATTCGCTGCGACTCTGTCGGCTCCAACAACAATGGCTGCCAGACGGTCTCCTTCTCTAGCCATCAGTGCACAAGCCATCGAGTCCGTTATGAGCGTGGCCGGGATCTCGTCGTGGACGAGTTCATATGCCGTCAACCGTGAACCTTGGTTGTAGGGGCGAGTCTCTGAGCAGTATGCTCGGGTGAGCATTTCGACGGCTCTCAGTGATCTGATGACACCTAGCGCCGTGCCATATCCTGCAGTTGCCAGAGATCTGTTCAAACATCAGTTCCCTTCCTGAAATGTTTCTCGCCTGGCTAGTGTTTCTGCACTCACCCAGTGTTGCAATGTGTCAGAATCGCAAGCTCTTGATTCTTGTCTGCTTTTCGTTTCCTTCCGGCAGCGGTGTTTTCCTCGATCCAACGAGCTCCATGCTCCCCAATAGCCTTGTTGTCGGAGACATCGTCCACCAGCATCCGTTCTGCAGCGGCAATGTAGGCTCGGGCAACAGACCCCGCAGACGCTCCCGGCTGCAATGTGGCCTTCTTGGCCACGATCTTGAGCTTGCCGACTGCATCTCCGAGATTGACCGCCGTCGGTCTACTCGTCTTTAGATAGTCCAACCGCTGGCCTATGCTGTCCTTGACCTCTTCCGGAGCTGCTGCAGCCAGCGTCCCGTTCCTGATCTCACGTCCCACCTCGACGGCCAGGGCTAGAGCCGCCACGATGGCGATGGCCGGGGCCCCTCGAACTTTCATCTGTTTGATCGCGGCATGGGCTTCTTCGCAGTCTCGTATCGGAACATAGGCGGTTCGGTGTGGTAGGAGCAGCTGATCGAGGATCCGTAACGAGGGGGAGGCATCGGCCGAAGCGGGTTCATACTGGATAGCCTGTAGCACCATGACTGGGAGAGATCTAGGAAACGATTCGAGGTTTTGGGAACCAGGACTGGAATGCACAAGGAAGATGTTTGGCGTTGGTCTCACTATTGTCTGCGTGAAATTGGTTTCAATCTGGTCCGCCACCAACTTTTTTTTCCATCTGCACGCCATTGTTGCGGGGTTGAGGTGATTTTCTGTTACCCCTCATCGCGCCTTTCTCCCACGTGCTACGGTCACTGGTACCTGGTCGTGCTACTTTGTTGTATGCATGCGACTTTCAAATCTGCTCTGGTTGTCCTTCGCCATCTTCCCTCGACACTCGAGTTATGAAACACTCGGAGATAGCGGAGCCAGCCCAGAGTGGCTTCGCGCCTGCTGCAGCCTATGATGCTCATCGTCCGACCTATCCAGATGAAGCGGTCCAACGCCTCCTCGAAGCCTGTGAAGTCGCGGGCGTCGAGGGCGCAAAGATTGCGGACCTGGCGGCCGGTACTGGGAAATTCACCGAGATTTTGGCGAGAAGACCAGAAGAATATGATATCGTCGCTATAGAGCCTCACGACGGCATGCGGGCGCAACTGGAGCAGAAACACCTTGCCCATGTACGGGTTCTTAAAGGCACCGCCGACAACATGCCAGGCATCGCTGATGAGTCTCTTGCGTGTCTCATAGCATCGCAGGTGAGTTCAGACGGTGCCTGACCGGAACGGGTTTATTCTGATCCAGCCCGTAGTCGTTTCATTGGTACGTCCCAAGCATTTCCACAGAAATCTTTCTGGTGATCTGATGGCTTTCGTTCAAGGTTTGCCAACAGTGAGGCGTTGAAAGAGATTGCTCGCACACTCCGACCAGCAGGTGTATTTGGCATGATTTGGAATATCGATGACTGTATGGGTGGTCACCCGCGATTGAAACAGCCGGAAAGCTCACTGGCCATGACGCAGACAATTCACCAAAATCGTGGACGATTCATCCGGGGTGGGAGCAAGCCATGCGCGACGTGATTTGGACGTTCGAGGACGGGTCGCCACGCTTTCGACACGAGAAATGGCGACAAGTGTTCGAGGACCAGACGGCGAGTAACCCCTTGAGTGCAACATTCGCCAACCCACTGTTTGGGCTGCCGTTGGGAGAAGGGAGTGTTGAGTTCACATCGTGGCTGTCGAAGGAAGATATCTGGGCCAGGTTGAGGACGTTGAGTCAACTCGCGATATTAGAGGGTGAAGAACTGGACAAGGTGAGAAAAGCATTCGACGACAGTCTGAGGTCAGAGGGAACCGTGATTGATCGAGATGGTTTGATCGCTGTCCATGGGAGAACCGTGTTCTTCTGGACGAAAAAAATCCCTGCTGAGCCGCTCAAGAGCAGTGGCTAGATTTGTCGTTACCAAACATAGTATTTTCGCACATCGCCTTCGGACGTTCCTGTAAACGTTGCCAATGGCTCCTCTTTAGAGCTACACCTCGTGTGAGGGCTCGCAAACTCGAGTCGACTTGTTGCCCTCCTCCCCCCTTCGTGATCACTCCTGCTCGAGGTTCAAGTGGCGGATAAGCTCGACAAGGCAGTGTATGAATCCAGAATGCGTATCAAGGGACGACTGTTCCAGGTCTTATGATCGTCCGTGGCGCTCCTTTTGAGCATTTATCGGCCACGCATGGTATGCACATGATTGTCCCCTCCTCTTGCCATCTGGCGGTTCCACTCGACCAGTGTATTGATCAGTCAGTTGGCCAGCCATGGACTGCTCTCAGTCGCTGGAAATATAAAGCACTATATCAACACACCACTGTGTCAGCAAAGGTCTCTACTTATTGACAAAACTCCCATGTTCACTTGCAGCTACTCTCGCCGAAAGCACCATCGCCTTCCTTTGTTTCCCCCCCTGCTATTTTGCGCCACTAGTTTGCAGGAGCAGCATGTCGAAGAACGTACCATTATTCCCTCTGACGAATGCATCACCGTATTTACGTCGCAGTTTCCCGTCTACATATTCACTGCACTTCTCCAGTGCGATGTTCATGTACCCGTCCACGCTCTGCAGCTCGCCTTTGTAGACCACACCAGAATTGAGCTTCACAGTCACGGGCACGCCGATGATCGAGGATAGGAAGGAGGCTGGATCTTTGGGGTCCGAACTCGAGGGCGCAGCTCCGGGCGAGTTGTGGTTTTCCATTTTCGAGAGGGGATGGACGGGATACAGGAACGGAGGGTGAAGGGAGAGAAAAGAGACGGAGGTGAAGACAGAGCAGACGAGACTTCGAGAAATATCAAAGAGGGATTGTCAGAAAGATGTTCGGGTGTGTGATTTGGATCAGATGAAATGAGTCTGTAGTTTTGTGGGGGATCGGTTTGAGCTGCGTGATAGAGTAGAGCCTTATAGGGAGCGTGGGAGCTAGACAATAGAGTGTGGAGAGACTACGGAATCATTCCTTGGCGCAACGAGGCTGTCATCGTTCTTAACTACAACTTGTACATAACAATCTTTCGACCCTCTATCCACCGAAATAACATTGCCCTCCCCAATACATGGATGCTGGAAGCCACCGAAGCTGTTGACCGGGTGTGTTGCTGTCACTTAACGACTGCTCGATCCCTTCAGTTGGAAGAGCAGCAGATGTAAGTCCAATGGTGAGCCTTGTGTACCCATGATTGGCACTCGGGCCGTCATCTATGGACTGTCTCCGACTACCTAGAGGTTCCCCAGGGTGCAGTATAATGCCCTTGGCACGTTAGAAGTGCCTGGATAACAACAGCTGGGCATATCTTTCCCCTCTTCCTCCCAAAATGAACATGAAGATGTCGCACTTGCAATTCTGAGTGACCTATACTCTAGACATACCTCAGCTAGCATGGTTGGTGGCGAAATAATCAACGAGGTCAGATGTGACAGGCTGAAGTTGGCCCCTCATCCTAAGCTATCCCGAACTCATCCTCTAGCACCCGAGACGATCCAAGATATGCAGTGGAACTGAGACGGTGCGCAATGGCACCCGTTCGAAGAAATATCTGGCCAACACGTCGAAGTGCGGCTGCAGCTCTTCCTATGCCACCTTTGGACATCAATGTTGTACAAGTGCTGCACCAATCTTCGCGCGCACTACTGACAGGTCGAGGACAGGTTCTGTGTCCGCGCTTCAATTGAGTCGATGATAAGACTCGAACAATGCTCCACTGGAATTCGTCTTTCACTCCCGATTGTTGATAGTGTGGATTGCACGCCATGTCGAGCTCACCAGCATCACAGGGTTCTACTGCCCTAACACTAATTCCTCTCATGTTTGCTGGTTGCGTGGTCAGCTATCTCGTTGGAATCTATCGCAGTTACCAGACGCTTAGCCACTTCAAAGGACCCCCTCTAGCTGTGTTCACCAGCTTGTGGCTTGCTTCACCGGCCATCAATGCTCGCATGCCAACCCCCCAGAAAGAGACGCTCAAGAAATATGGTAAGCTGGCCAAGCGCCAACTACGAGGTCGAGGCAGACAGTTATGATACAGGGTCGCGGCACGGATAGGCCCCAGTCTGTTGGTCACGGATGACCCCGAGCTACTGGGGCACATGAGTGCTCTTAGGTCTAAATGGACACGGAGCTCGTGGTACGAGGGCATGAAGCTAGTCCCCAGAGCTAACAACATCTTCTCGGAGCGCGATGAACGACGACATGCCGAGATGAGGTCGAAGACGATAGGGGCAGTAAATCCACCCGAGCTATATGCGTTTCCTATAACTTTGGTGTTGATGGTCTTGATTGTGCTGACCGGTGACAAGTATTCTAGGAAAGAGGTTGACACGTTGGAATCCGACTTTGACGAGAAGCTGCAGAGGCTGCAAGCCCTGATTAGACGAGAGTATAACGGGAAGCCTCTTGACGTGTCACTGGTGGCATCTTTGTTCACCTTGGATGTGCTGAGCCAAATCGCATTTGGGGATGCTTTTGGCTTCGTCGCCGCCAAGAGAGACCTCTCCAATTTCAATGAGAGTGCAAACCAATTCTTCAAGGTGATAGAGTTGATCCTCAATCACGATACTCTGCGCACATGCATCCAAAGCCGGTCGGTGCAGAAAATATTGGCTCCGAAAGGCACAGATGAGTTCGGCCTGGGCCGGATCATCGGTATCGCTCAAAAAGCAGTCGCTGAACGCTACCGGCCGGATCCCAAGGTCAAAAGGGACATGCTTGGGCACTTTGTCGCAAAAGGGACTCAGTTAGACACAGGCCGAGGCTGAGTCACACCTGCAGATCATCGCTGGCTCCGATTCGACGTCTTCTGCTCTACGCATAACAATGATGTTGTTGATCGGCAGTCCAGTGGCGTACCAAAAGGTCGTTACCGAGATCGACAGGGGGTTGCGAGCGGCAAAATCTCCTACCCAATCGTCAGGTACAGTGAGGCCGCCGAGCTGGAGGATCTATCTGCCTGTATCTGGGAAGGTATCAGAATCTTCCCCCCCTTTGTTTGGCCTTCTGAGCAAACTCGCTCCCCCTGAGGGTGATACAGTCAACGAAGTCTTCTTCCCGCTGGGGACCGAAGTGGCTTTCTGTTGCGAGGGGATTGGGCAGGGAACAGACATCTTTGGAGCAGACGCAGATCTGTATCGCCTGATAGATGACTACATCCTGATCCGGAAGTCAAGGCCGGGTACTTGAGAACAGCGGATCTGATGTTTGGGAGCGGTAGATTTGCATGCCTGGGCAAGAGTATTGCCATGATGGAACTATACAAGGCGTTCGTCGAGCTGAGCTGACACTGTCGTGTACTTGTATGTATTTGCCTTGTGATCCTGACAATTAATCTAGCTGCTTCGGCACTTCGACCGGGCCCTCGTGGATCCAATCAAGGGTGCTAGATCGATCGCCCATGGCATCTAGGTCCAGTGGAATATGATGCTGGTAGCATCGCCCCGGCAGCTTTAGCTGCAGGAGCCGGGGGCTGTGCAGAGTACTCGGATTTTGCATAGAGGGCCTCGTCGCTTAACAGGTCAACAGACACGAAGGGCGCGCTACAGAAATAGCCAGACCTGACGATGTCTGTCTGCTCACCCAAGCTATGCTAGTGCTAAATGTCGACCAGTACCCGCGGGTTTCACAACGACTTCACTTGTCACGGGACGTATCCTGAACTCACGAATAGAACTCTCTAAACACGGGCACGAAACATAATGATTGCAGATGGTGTTTGTTATTTCAACGGTCCTTTTTTCTGGCGTTGGTGGTGGACCGATGTATTTAGGGACGTCTCTGGTGGGTTGTGGCTTGAGGAAGCTGTCGAGGCCGAGGATTGGCGGCCTCGACAACCCGCTGGTCTATCTGACGCCTATGGGTACCTACTTCTACTCGTCTACCGTACGTGCCTCATCCCCTCTTTACTGCCGCTGACAGGGAGAGCCACCCGTTCCCGTGGCTCTGCCTCGATGAGATCAATATCCCATCACCACATTAACCAAAGCGCCTCCGCTAACCACATCTCCCCAGCCTGTTATCACAAGGAGATAGTCTCCCGACTATCCAGCTCAGCCGAGAAATAGTAAATCCATATAATACCCGCGCAGGATCCTCACGAGTATGTAATAGAATAATATGGACTCCGTTTAGCTGGTGCCAAAGTAAAGTTCTTGGCGGGTTTTTTTATGTGGGTAAGTTATCTTACAGAGTTGCCAGTAATTACAATAATCCTGATGAATGACCTAGCGAAGCGTAGCTGAGCTAGTATTACCGGCAAAACTGACAAAAAAGGCGCAATTTAATTGGACCGCCTTATCGGAGCTTATCGATTGGCTATTTAGAACACAAAACACCTGACTCGCGGAACATAGTTATTCCGCTCCTAATCTCAATTTCCATTTCCGCCACTGCCATCTCAGTTTTACCACTGTAATTCTATGGCAAGATAGGTCAGAGGCTATTACACAAGAACTAAACGAAAACCGCTTAATTAAGAAGCTTCGCTAGCGTCTTGGGGGGTTTATGCCGCACGGTCTATTTTTACATATGTACGAGGTAGTTGTGTGGAGGCCGCCACGACTTAACCTAGTTTGGGTACAAAACCAATTGGTGTGTTTACGCTATTATCATAAACATCCGACATAGGTATAGTAAGCCTCGGTGGACCCCTTTCCAAGAGGGAAGGTATGTACACAATCTCACGCACCAATGTATGTACTTAGCTTACCCGAGGTGGGGGAGGGAGGGGGGGGGGCGATGCCTAACACAACGTACGATGTACCTAGGAATCTTCGATACCTTGGTCACCTATACAAAATGTCACTAGGGCGCCACATGCTCACCTATAGCCACCATGTGTGAGATTTTGAAGCGACGTACCGAGCAGCAGCAGTAGTTGTAGTAGTACTTCTCATAGGAAAAGTGGGACGCCTCCCTCTTGATTTTTGATTTCGTCTGTTTTTTTGATGGGGTTGAGATTTTCACTTTTGCAATACCTTTGTAAACTGTCGTTTCATAGACTGCCGTTCTAGTTCTGTCTGTCTGTCCCCTGACCCCAGTGGACTGGGAGCAGCACACAACTCGGTAGTAGATGTGTCATTTCCACACGTGCCCAGCTTCGAATCAATTGACCAATCAACCAGCCGACGAGTCGACGTTGTCAGGACTCGATATTATGCCTCTCGCTGCAAGACACAGCTTCCTGCTAGTTTTTGGGTAGACTGTCGGGTACGGCAGCGTGAAGAGAAGACACAAGGACAGATCAATGGTAGCAAGAGCATTTCCTGATTTCTGATTAAAATTTAGAAAAACCCAAGTGACTGAATCCATTCCGTTCCTTTCTCGCTTTATTTGGTCATATATAGAAAAGAAAAAAACAAAAGAAAAAAACAGTGAGAGGCTCCAGGTACAAAGAGACAAAAGGACGATAGGCTAGAGACGGAAAACCAAACCAAAAACCAGTCGCTCGCGAGTTCGCCATGTCATTTGGAGTTGGTCGCGGACTTGATCCCCCTAAATGGCAATGCCGTAATGAACGTTGGGGTCATCATCCTCGCGGTGATAGTAATCTGGGTCGTAGTCGTAGTGGGTCGGGTTCTGATCGTCCTCGTCTTCAGGCCAGTGACCCTCGCCTTCCTCGTCCTCATCTTCGTCCCAACCCTCGCCGTAGACGAAATCTTCGTGGGCTGCCAGAGCAGCTTGAGTCCTCTCAAGTGAATCCATGTTCTCTGGATGTGTCGGGCGAGCTATGCGACGCATCTTCTGGCGAGGTGGTGCCAGACCGAGCACGTCGTCGTCGCCGACCTCCCAGTCTGGTATCTCTTCGGGATGCTGTTCTCCCTGACCTTGCATACCTGGCTGCTGTCCTCCCTGACCTTGCACACCTGGATGCTGTCCTCCCTGACCTTGCACACCTGGATGCTGTCCTCCCTGACCTTGCATACCTGGATGCTGAGTGACACCTGCTGCGAACCCTGCCGTACGAGATGGACGTGGATTGACACCCAATGACAGCGGTGTCACACCTGCTGGTTTCGCTCTAATACCTGCTGGATTCAGGGAGGAAGACTGAGGAAGGGCAACAGGTGGATGTTGAGGTCCCTGAGCAGGCTGGTGAGGGAGTTGCTGCATGGGTTGACGGGCAGGACCTCCTGTGGTTGGAGGGGCAGATGCGCCTTTTTGCGGTGCAAAGCGGTTTGGTCCAGGCCTAGGGGCATGAAGTGATGTTACCTTATGAACTGGACCTGCGCGAAATGGATCGGGATCAGTCTGCGCTCCGTAAAGCGTATCTGGAGGCGGATTGTTCCTTCCGACGAAAGGCATGGCAGACCAGCTGAGACCCTAGATTCAGAGGCTAGAGCAAAAGAAAGAACCTCGAGTCGAGATCCAACGGGTTCAGAGAAAGATGATCTAAATGTCGGACTGTTTAAAAGGGGCCTTTTGTGTGTGTGTGTGTGTGTGTGTGTGTGTGTGTGTGTGTGTGTGTGTGTGTGTGTGTGTGTGTGTGTGTGTGCAGAGAGAAATCCTATTGATCGTATGAAATGTTACTGACGCCCATCTTTATAAGGAGCATGATCCCTAGATACCAATCATCTGTTGCTGCGCCTCTGCGGAATAGACCCCACGAATTCTACACGATCCACCAGGGTCACGTCCAAACACGCTACGCTGTCTTCTAGGGCCTCACATAACCTTGTGGACCATCAACCGCTCACCAAAGGCTTGTGATGAAAAAAGAACTGACCACCCCGCCACCGGTATGTCTGTGGGGCAATGAAGTGACAAGATCTGCCATCTACTAGCCATGCACATCAAGTAACGAATCCCTCATGAACTTTAAGCTCGCCGCCTTGGCTGGCTTATATCTGATCTGACTCAGAGGAGGCAGAGGCGACTCGCTGTCCTCTGTATATCGGATCTCCACTTTACAACCTCTAGTATCAGATAGTATGTACATTAAAGGTTGGTGAGGATGATTAACATGTATTTCTTAATATATGACTCGTATCACCCAGAGGACTCCCTCGTCTGCACTTATTTCCTAGTCAGTAGTACCTTCCTTTCTGGTGACGGTTAATTATAAGAAAGGCCGTAAAGGGGTCGTCTTGGCGCCAAGCGTGCGTATTTCCCAATCACTCCCTGGCTGCCTGGCAATCATGATCATCGGACAACTGTTCTATCTTCATGTAAGACGACATTTACTCTCCGAACAAGTAACTCCCCAACGCTGTCTTTTGCAGAGTATTTCTTTTCTCGGCCATCGGGATCGATATAGATTCACTGATCCCGCTTCCTGGAGCTTGATCTATGCTTACAATCCTTTTCCTCACGCGATATTTTTGTCACTTCCACTTCGCTGGAACCCCGAGAGGAACTAATCTTGTCCTGACCGTCAGATCTCGGGCGATTGGAGTCTTTGGAATACGAAAGTCTTGGAACCCCACCAGTTCTCAACCTTGGCTTTCTACAATGTCACCAAAGCCACTACCGACAGACCTGCCCACTTACACCTTTCGGTCCGCACGAGACTTTGAGACTTTCCTCGAGCGTGAGCACACCACTGCCCCTGGATGCTATGTTAAGCTCGCGAAGAAGTCGGCCTGCGAGCCGTCGGTTTCGTCAGCTGAGGCGGTCGAGATAGCTTTATGTTTTGGGTGGATCGACGGCCGTGCAAACGGCTTCGATGAGAACTGGTGGTTGGTGCGATATACTCCGCGCCGGTCGAAAAGTATTTGGTCCCGAAAGAACGTGAATACGGTGACCAGACTGGTCCAGGAAGGTAAGATGCGCCCAGCGGGCATTGCTGCCGTTGATGCTGCCAAAGCGGATGGTCGCTGGGCTCGCGCCTACGACGGCCCAGCAACGATAACTGTGTCGGACGATCTTGCTGCCGCCCTCGCTGCCGTGCCTGCGGCGTCTTCTTTCTTCGAATCTCTGAGCAAGTCAGAGCGGTACGCTGTGCTCTGGCGCATACAGACAGCGTCCCCTCAAAATCGAGCGAAGCGGACCGAAGCGATCGTCCAGATGCTAGCCGGTGGGAATGTACCCGGCCGAACAGTAAAACCCCAAACGCTCCCTGAGGACAGACAAGCCGTGAAGAAGGCGGTGGCGAAAAATTCAACAGTGAAGCAAAACCTGGCTACGGAAGACATACCCACTGGCCAGCCTCTGCCAACGGCAGAATCCAGACAGCCTCGACGTTCTGG